TTGTCAGTTTTCATTCATCCACGATTAAAATGGTGCATAGGTTTTGTGTGGCTGGTCCCTGCCATGTTTTTTCCACAAGCCCTGTTATATTTGGTGTCTGTTTTTGTAGCTTCACAGAGGTTTTTAAAGATATTACATAAGAATTATGAGGAATTCCTTGGACCATCTCTCAGTGCTGGGTAGGGTAGTAAACATGGTGCTTACTCAGTACCCAGCAATAGTAACTTCCTGTCAAAACAGACTGTGAAGTTATGACAACCAAAACAGTATGACCAGCATGAGAAAGGATCTTATAGCTTGTCAGGATTAAGCAGAATAGCAGACTTTGGCCCAGAGTTCAACAAGTTAGCATCCTCACTGCCCAACTACAGATTTTTCCTCATTCCAAGGCCTTGGGGCAACTGAATTCTTTTTTCTGAGCCTCTTAGCATCCCCTCTAAGAAGTAGGGACTGTTAATAGTCTAATGCACAGCCTGGGTTTTCCAGCTCCTGACTTGCTCAGCACAGTGCCCAGCTGTTGGTTAAAGGCGCCAGTAGAGGGTGCCGTTGAGGCTTTTGTTGAGCTTTAAACTGGTAGGAGAGGAAAATTAAGGCCTTTCTCTTGCCTTCCCGCAGCCGAGTGCACGGTTATGGGCATTCCCAGTATCTCCACCAATCTCTCCGGCTTCGGCTGCTTCATGGAGGAACACATCGCAGACCCCTCAGCTTATGGTCAGCACCCGGACTGAGATCCGGGACTCCTGGGGGCCTGGGGGGTAGGGTTTTGGTGCCACAGCATTCCAGGGAGAAGGAAGGTTTCCCCTAGCTGTTTCCTGAGTTCCCGCCCCTGCACCCCACAGGCATCTACATTCTGGACCGGCGGTTCCGCAGCCTGGACGATTCCTGCTCGCAACTCACCTCCTTCCTCTACAGCTTCTGCCAGCAGACCCGGCGTCAGCGCATCATCCAGAGGAACCGCACTGAGCGTCTCTCAGACCTTCTGGACTGGAAATACCTAGGCCGGGTATAACTCACTCCCTTTCCTGTCCTATGCTGGTGCATATACCGCTTCCGGTTCTGTGTCTCTGGTTTCTCAGTCCCAATGGCTGGCACAGAGGCAGCCGATCTCATACTTGTAAAGATTGTTGTCCCTTTAAGAAATTAATCAACTTCTGCTGGAAGACTGCATTGGCCCGAAGCTATTTGCATAAGGGTGTGGCCAAAGGAACCTGAGCCGTCCATTCCCGGCTCTGCTATCTACGTAAGGGGTGGAGCCAGAAGAAGCGGATAATAGGCTTAGTTCAGCGATTTTCTTCTCAGGGCTCACATAAACTACAGAAATTCTGCAGCACATCAAAAAATATATTTTTTGCCAATCTGACAAAAAAAAAGTAGAAATTTGATTCATTCACACCGCACAGCTATTGTGTTGGCTGTTATTTATTTGTTTGACAATCTAAAGGAAAAGACCTCAGTGCCCCTGGCTAAGAGTAGTCAGGTATAGCATGTTTTAAAAATTCTTGCCGCCCTAGCAAGAATTTTTAAAACATGCAACACCTGGGCACATGCAACCCAGAGCACATGCCTGGGTTGCAGTCCAGGACCCTAGTTGGGGGTGTGCGAGAGGTAACTGATAGATGTTTCTCTCTCTCTCTTCCCCTCTCTCTCAAAAATAAATAAATAAAATCTAAAAATTAAAATAAAATAGGAATACAAATTTCTACAGTACACCAAATGAACATCGCTGGCTTAGGCCCCAAGCCTTAGTGGCCTAGTGGAGGATGTTTCAGTGTGCTCATCTGCATAAAAGGTGTGGTCAGGGTGCACACCCCTACTCCCACTTTTCCTGGACAGGTGGGCACCCAACCCCTAATGCCCCTCCACATTTTTTTCCCCTGAAGTACTATATGTCTGCGCGCCACATGGCACTGGCCAAGGCCTTTCCAGAACACTTCACCTACGAGCCCCATGAGGCTGACAGGGTGAGTTGGCAAGGGGTCCCTTGGAGGGCTCAGAGCTAGGGGCCTGGGCTGGGGTTGGAGGGTTTCCCCCTTGAACGAGAAGGCCTGGGCAGGACTGGGAATCTGTGCTCACTTTGCCGTTTGTGCTTACTTCTGCGCACGCGCACAGGCCCAGGGGTACCGCTACCCACGGCCGGCCTCGGTGCCACCGTCACCCTCGCTGTCTCGACACTCGAGCCCACACCTGAGTGAGGACGAGGATGATCCCCAGGACCGACTGCCGAATGAAGAAGGCGAGCGCTATGATGAGGAAGAGGAGGCCGCCAAGGACCGGCGCAATATCCGTGCCCCGGAGTGGCAGCGCCGCTCCTCCTGCAATTCATCCACAGGCGGCAGCAAGCGCAGCTCAGACACCGCCCCCTCCAGCTCAGCCAGCACTCCCAGTGAGCCCCTCAGCCCCGCCAGCTCCCTGGGCGAGGAGCGCAACTAAGTCCCGCCCCACACTCCCGGTCCGCCCCGCCTCCCTCTCTTCCAGAGGGTAGATGTGGAATGGCGCTGTTCCTAAACCCTACTCCAGACCCCCAAGCTTCTCTGGGGTCCACAGCCCCGCACCCTCCACCGTATAGTCTAGCCCCTTCAGCTCTGCTCTTGGAATGCCCAACACTCCAGAATCCACAATGCGGTGCCTTTCTTGGGCTCCAGAATGCATAATGTGTGCCCTTGAGCCCCCCAGGCCTGGCCTGGATCACAGAGGCCAGAAATCTGCCATTATGTTCTCATGGTGCCAGAGGCTTGAGGAGACTTGGCCTATAACCTTCCAGGCTGGGGCTCCTGGAACCCTTTGTAGCTTGCAAATTCTGCAGTATGCAGAGCCTGCCCTGCTCAGCCTGGCCAAGGGCAGGGGGGTGGGGGGCATCCAGCACTGGCCACCAAGCCCTGCCCCAGCCAATGGGACAATCACGTTCGCAGCTGGAGCTCTTTCAAAGGACTTGTGCTAACTGGATGCAGAAGGTCCTCCATTTCACTCCAGAACGTGGACTCCAGGACAAGCACGCCTGTTTCCTCTGTGCTGACCCTCCCTGTGGTGTCCAGTTCTGCCTGGAGGATCCCTCCACCCACGGTCCCCTCTTCTACACTTTGGCTGAGCAAAGGAGGGAACCACGTGGCTCCTCACTGCTGCTGGAGAATACGCAGTCTTGGTCTGGCTGCTGAGCTGGCCTTTTCTGGACCAGCCCCTCCTCCGAGTCCCAGTTCTCCCCCATATCTCCAGGTTCCTTCCATGCCCTCGAGGGAGTCCCCCTGCTGAGGACAGAACTGGCTGTCTTCCAATGCCACACCCCCCAGCCGCCAGGCCCAACATGTAACCACTGGGTTCTGGGTCTTACCTGGCAAGTCTACAACCTTACCACTATGCTGCATCCTGGTTCCCTTCCCCTGGTCTAGAACTGAGTCCTCTGGGTTCTAGAACTTCCATTTTTACCTCGAGGTTCTTCTATCCCCCAGCTGTGCCCTGTCCCCAGCTTTGGTGACAGGGAGGTGCCCCTCACGAATGCTGTGTCTGATGCACTTGGTTTGCAGTTGGGAGTCGGGGGGAGTGATTGAAGTGTGTGTGGACAATGAAACAATACATCTATATTTAAGAATCTCAGGTCTGCTCTGACGGGAGGGTTTGGTGGACCACTCACCTAACCCTTCCCCCTTCTTGGCTTCTACCCACTTTCTCCTCCCTCCGTCTCCCATTTCTCCCCCTGCCCACCCTGGGTCCCCAATTTCTGGTCTCTTTCTGCTGTCATGGAGATGCCTGGATTGCTGCTCTGGAATCCAGTGTTTTCAAGGGAAGGCACCTGTGCCTTGTTTAGTGGGGACCTAACTTACCAGGAGCAAAAATTTGGGGAATGAGTTCTCACTTCAAGAACGAACCCACTGGGAGACGGTGAGCCATGCCTGTGTGGGCTCTTTACATTCCTCCGCACTAGCAATAATCAAGTGCTCGGTAGCCGTAAGTAGCTGCTACCTTATTGGAGGGCACTGCTGCAGAACATTTTCATCATTGTGAAAGGTTCTACTGGACAGTGGTCACTTAGGGCACATTTCCCGGGCTCTGTGGCCTCTGGCCTTTGACCATGCTGTCCCTAGAGAGTTGTTTTCAGAAAAAAATATTATTCCTTTCAGCTGTAGTCTTAATTGGTCATAGAAACATCTCTGAACAAATTGCTGTGCAGGGCAGTAAAATGCTCCAAGTGCTGATCACCCTGTTAGGCACTGTGTGGCAGACACACCAGCCTGTCCCCCTCAGAGTCACCAGTCACCACCACCAAAGTGCAGCTGACAGCGGGAGCAACAGGGTGCTGAGTGGACAAAACAACAGGTGTCCAGCAGCCACTTCCCCTTCAATTCTAGCAACAGCAGAGAAGGGCAGAGGTCAGCTGACACCCTTTTGTAACTGGGACCCTTCCTTGGTTCCCATTTGGATGACTGAGCCCCAGTCACACTTCCCAGTTTCTGTGCAGGCCCCAGCCTCTGGCTCAGTTCCTGTCTGTCACGTGCTCCCAGCGCCTTGCAATCACTTGACTGTTTCTGCCACTTGTGAGCCTTGAACTGGAGAAGAGGGAGCAAGCAGCCCTTGAAGCAGGTCACTTCTGGTGTGCCCACTGCTTGCCGTGGGCAATTTCCATGCCAACATCCTCCACTCACCCATACAAAGAGGTTGATAACCCTCCCCAGCCTTCCTGGATAGAGCCAGACTACTTCCATTTTGGCACATTACTGGGCTACACACTAAAAGAAGCCTATTGTTACTATCTGATGCTGGTAACAGTGAGCTTCCAGCCACCAGCCCCAGGTAGTGAATAAACTAGACCCTCCCTGCAGCGGGGGCTCCAACATCTGGGTGGGGCCCTTAGCCTGGCAAGGAGAGAACCCACTACTGACACACACCCCAGGGAGCTCCCACCTTGGAACAGTGGAGCAAAGGCCTCTTCCCCTGCCAGGCCGGCCCAGTTAGCCTTGGGAAAGCAGATCCCAGGGCATTTCCCACAGCACACACGCAAAACCAGCAGCTGCTGCAAAAAGCTTTATTTCCATTTGGTTTAATGCACGGGAGAGGGCTCCAGGGTGAGGGTCAGGCAAAAGCCAGACACCAAGGGGATGGAGAGGGGCCCCTTGAAGGCCTCTGGGCTCCAAAGGCTTCCTAGTCGTGCTTGAGGGTGAGCCTTTCGAAGAGATACTCACCATACCCAGCCTGGGGGCCGCCCAGCCTGCGGATGTTAATTAGGTAGTTCCCGATCTTTTTGATGAGTTTCAACTCCTCATCCAGGAACTGGTTCTTCAGGAAGTCACAGACCTAAGTGAACGAAGGAAAACACTGCCATTTGTAGATCACAGAATGACTTTGGGAAACAATGTTCACATATAAAATGTGTCCAAATGACGCTAAGGCTTAGAATATAACCTTCATTCCAAGGAAGGTCTTAGTACTGGTAGACTACTTCGATAAAAGTGGTACTTACATAAAGGTCTGAGCGGGTAGAAGCCAGGGCATGCAGATCCAAAAGGGCCCGGTTCACGTTCTTCTCCAAGTCCAAGGCTGCTTCCATGGCGTCCTGAGTTGTACCCCACTCATGTTTGGAAGGCATCTACACAGGAGACAGGGAAGGTTCAGAACGGGCCACAGAATCCGCAGAGGACTGAAAACTCCTTTCTCCCACAGGGCCTGCTCTAAGAAATGTCTATCATCCGCAGGCCCCTACATATACACGGCCCGGGAGACCTCGCTGCAGACTCAGAACTGGCTGTGCTTGTATTTCCAGCCACAATAAAGAACCCTTAGGGCTCTGAAAACCTCCCAGAAGCCCACGCGGTGCCTAGACTACGGCTGTGAGGGCGCCTGGAACGCAGGGACTGCTGGGAAATGTAGTCCACAGGCCCACACACTATTTACCGCCACGTCCTGGAGAAGAATGCGGCCACCGCGCTGGTTTTGCAGCGTTAAGAGACATTCAGCGTCTTCGCGCTTCTTTTTGGCCAACTGTCGGAAGAAGTGACCCACGCCCTGCAGAGCCACGTCGTCCCGGTCGAAATAGAAGCCCTGCGGGAAGAGATGGCAGAAGCAAGGGTTAGTGGGAGGCGAGGCCGGGAGCGCAGACTCCGCCCTCTGGCTATCCAGCGGGACAAAGAAGGCCAGCGCGTGCCTAGAAGGCCAGATGTGCGCAGTTGTTGGGCATCGGGCCTGGGGCATCCTGGGGACCCTTACCAGAGAGAGGTAGATATAAGAGGCCCGCAGATGCAGGTTGGCCAAGCTGTTCACCGCCGCCTCCACTTCGGTGGAATAATTCTGACGAATTTGGGAGCTCATGGTTGTTTCCTACTAGGAGTTAAGTTAAAAAAAAACAAACAAAAAACGTGATGGTCGTCTCGGAGACAGGATGGCCGAGGTGGTTTTGAAGGTGGTACTGGGTAAGAAGTTGGAGGGTGGTCGGAGCCTGGAAGAAGGAACGTCTCTAGGTCTGTTCCGTCCAAACCTTGTAGAAGCAAAAGGCAGATGCCCGTGATGCTGTGGCCCACCCGGCTTCCTTTATAGCCATTAGGGCCCCTGGAGGTGGCGTGTTCAGGAAGTGCAGTTGGCCAATTCTCCTTGGTGGTACGTGGGGCCTAGAGCCCCCAGTGACTGATCCAGAGCAGATAGGAGGCCCAGACTCATGCCCCTCCGGAGGTGAGGAAGTCACAGGCTTGTAGCTCAAGGCTGCTGTGAAAAGGGAAATTAGGGGGCGTGGGGGATTGGGAGATGCAAGGGTCTGGTGCTGATTGGGGGGTAGTCAAGGGGTTCTGGGGGTACTCTGGTAGGTGGGAGATTAAGGGGGACACTGGGAGCCCTGGAAAATGAATGATCCTGTGGTTCTGAGACTGTTTCTGGAAGTAGGCTGGATTTGGGGGTTGTCTCCACTGAGGCCTTCAGATTCCTGGGGTTTGCTTTGGGAGCTGAGGGGTCACAGATCATTGGAATGTTTGAGGACAGTAAGATAGGACTTCGGGAAACATGGGCATCTCTCTGGAAGATGGGTTGGAAGTGAGCCCTACTATTCACTCAAAAGTGGTGTTACTTTTTTTCTTTCTTTGTTTCTTTGTTTCTTTCTTTTCTTTTTTTCTTTTTCTTTTTCTTTTTCTTTTTTTGTATCCTTAATGTTCACGACGGAATTCCTATTTTTCTGGAAAGTTTCTGGAGGAGGTGTTCCAGCCTTTGAATTAATTGGTCTGCAAGATTAAAAGGGCAATAGTTCTGGAGCCTGGGGGCTCACCCCCAGGTTTTGGGGAGAAGAGTGTTTTTGGAAGCCTCGAAGGGTATTTTTTAGAAGTAGTCATAGGGAAACTCAAGAGATTAAGGTACATCCTTGAGGTAGAAGCTTATTGCAATTCTTCTTCCTGTTACACAGAGTGTGAGTGTGAAGGCTGGACCTTAGGCAACCCTGTTGGAACCCGAGGTGACCCCCATAGAAACCAGTGCCAAAAACGTTGAGGCAGGAAGGTAGAAGACTTCACAGAATTGCTCAGCAAGCCCTACCTGCCCATGTACAGATTCCTCCACGTGAGGGAGTGAACCCTGCGTGGATAAGCCACAGCCATTTTGGCGGGGTGCCTGTTATAAGGGGCTGAATCTGGGCCTGACTCACACGGGGGTTTCTCTGGAAGAGCCCAGCAGAGCTCCTGTCTTGAGAGGATGCTTACCATGGTGATGGCTGTCTTCCCAGTGCCGGGCTGGCCAGTGATGAGCACCGCCTGCCCAGCGATCATCCCTTCCCGGATCATCTCCAGCACCACGCCAGCTGCCCGCCGGGCCGCCAGCTGACCAACCATGCCCTGGGAGGCCTGTGGGGTGGGGGGCCAGAGAGCAGAACAGCTGCCTTCCTGCAGGACCACCCCCATCTCTACCACCTCCCGGCCTAGGACACGGAAGCAGATGTTTGGAGGGACATCGGGGAAAAGCCAAAAAGCCTTTGCTACCACAATTTTTTTCAGCCCAATAGAACTCTGTATGTGGCTGAATTTCATAAATACGGAGCTAAAGGTCTGGAAAAATATAACAGTCCCCATACTCCCGGGGGCCCTCCACAGAGCAGGCTTCCCACCCACCCAGATCAGCTCTACCTGCCGAGGTTCCAAGGCATCGTCCAGCCCCAGTCCCCGGATGTGGGAGTGAGCTCCTGTGTGCAGAGGGAAACAGGAGACACAGTTACTGGCCAGCTCCTAGCAGTGTGTGGCCAAGGTGACAGGTTCCCCTCTGGGCCCTGCTTTCCTCCTTGGCCAGTTGGGGGCCCGGGTCTCCGCCTTACTGGAGGGATGGCAGGGCTCAGTGAACAAGAGGGGCTCTTCTCAGAATCCCTCAGAGCCAGACCGGAGTCCCTGGGCCTGGTGAACCACGGGGTCAGTCAGGACTAACCTGGAAGGCTGAGGACCACGGTTACTATGCTACTAAACTCTGGGAGCGCTTCTGGGGTTCTGTAACTGCCCCAGGCTCTCACCAACATGGGTGCAGAAGGGGCTCAGAGAGGTCAGATCCGTTGCCCAGGACCCATAGCCATTGAGGAGTGTAGATTCCAGATTCACTGCTTTACACTAGAGTGGGGCTGGAGAAACTACAGCCTGGGGTCCAGCCACTTGTTTCTGTAAATAAAGTTTTATTGGAACACAGATTCGCCCATGTGCTTATAGGAGGCAGCACCCAAAACACAATCAGAATTGCCTTCTGGAGGGCAGGTCCCTTCTTATTCAGGCTTCCCCCCTGGTGAGTGTCCTGGAATCCATCTGTGTCGATGAAGCGGCAGCCATTGTTGGGAGAGGCTGCGTGTGGCTTCAGTGAACTTTGTTTTGAAGACTTGCAAAATGTTTGCCCATTTCATGATGGCTAATTTACGAGCACACCTGCCCACACCACGCTGAGTTTGCAGCAGTTTTTGACCCGAAACGGCATGGTCCCCCTACCCCACCCTTCCTATTCACCTGATTCTCCCTGTGTGACTTTCTTTTGTTTCCCTGAATGAAGAAAGTCCTCAGAGGGAAACGTTTTGCCAAGGTGGAAGACGGGAAACAAAAACCAGCAGAAGCACTAAAAGGCATCAAAATCGACGAGTTCAAAAACTGTTTTGAGCAGCGGAGAAACCTCTCAATAGGTGTGTTATATCAAATGGAGAGTCCTTTGAAGGTGACTGAGTTTTAAACATTTAAGAATACACTATATTTTTTATAAATAAATTCCGGGTTTTGTGTGTGTCTCTTATTGTCTGAGGCTGCTTTCCCCCCTGCATCAGCCGGATTGAATCTTTTCAACAGAGAAAAGATTTACTCTCTGGCCCTTTAAGAGGTCTGTCGACCTCACACTAGACCACAAGCACCCCCAGGGCAGGGACTGGGGCAGCTCCTGGGCGCCACTAGTGTCTGCTGGGTCCTGGGCTCCCAGCAGTGTGGACACAGCATCAGCGCCTGCGCGGGAAGGACTTCACGTTATGGAAGTAGGGGAACTATTCTACCCTCATTTGGCAGATAAGGAAACTGAGGCCTGGAGAGCACCTAGCCCTGAGCTATTTGGCTCAGAAGTGGCACCCAGCAACATGCTTCTAAAACCCACAAACCCTTTAAGGCATAAGTTGGAGATGTGGCAAAATTGGCTCCAACCACCGCCATGAAGCAAGGTGCAATAAAGCAAGTGTCCCAACAAAGGAGTCATGAAAGTTTTGACTTCCTTGTGGCTATGGAAGTAATGCTTTCACGACACCATCGTTTACAAGGTGTGCAATGGCACATGTCTAAAATCACAATGTGTTACGCTTCCCTTAATGAAAAAAGACTTCACTGCTATAAAACATTAACTGTTTTATAGCAAATAAACCTTCAGAAAATCATAATCTTTAAGCTGTGGTGAGCCTTACCTTTAATTGTTTTTATAAAAGCCATTATCCTCAAAGCACAATATAGTAAGGCACTGAACGAACGAATCTGAAGCAACAAGTGCAGTCTCCTCCCTGCAAGGGAGGCTCTCTGTGAAGGCTGTCCCACCGGCCCCGCTGCACCCCAACTCCTGTTCCTGGAGCCCAGGTGCCCTCGAAGTGTGAGCTGGGACCTGTGACTGACTGCTCTGTGCCTCAGCTACCCTGGCCACACTGGAGTGACCTCACACTCTGCACCTCATGGGCAACTTCGAGGATCAGCAGGGTGTAAAGCCGTGCCCTCAGTAGTTTTCTGTGTCACCTGCTGGGAATGAGCCAGGCCCATCCCCGCCCGCAGGGAGCTCACACCACCCAAGTGTGTGCTGGGTGGACAGGACGTTCAGCACAGAGCCACACCTAGAGCGCACTCAGCAAGAGTGCTGAGCAAGATGCTGGTTCTCCCAGAAGCTCACAGGGTGGCAAAGCCTGCAGCCTGGGATTGGGGTCCAGTGTGGTGCCCCAGGTGCCCTCTGACCCCTGTTGGGGACTCAGGATCCTCCCCCACCAGATAGGGGGCTGGAGCGCCCGCTCATGCCTCTTGGGGTGCAGGGCAGGTTGGCTCTGCAGGGGAGCACAGGGCAGGCAGGGTCCCGCCCTGCTCCACGCCGGCTCACCAATGCACTTGATCCTTGTCACATCTTGGATCTCTGGGACCTTGGTGGTGGCCGTCTGGGGGTGGAGGAAGGAAGACATGTCAGAAGAGCCCTCATGGTCCTGTTTTCCACCAACTCCTCCTCTGTCCCTTCTGCCACCTCCCATGAGAAAGTACCCTCCACTCCTCTCCAAGACCAGGCCGACAGCCCCACCTCCAGCCACTGCCACCCTCTCAGCTGCCTGGGTGACCCTCTGCATTCTGAGTCCCAGGACGACGAGGACTGTGTCCCATTCAAAGCTCTGTCCCCACGGCCTCGCCCATATTTGGGGCACAGAACTGCTTGGTGAAGGAAGAATCAGTGTGAGGACAAACACTAACCCAGAGCAGGCATCTTGCTGGGAGTGGTTGGACCTGCAGGCCCCCCTGCCCCTCCCGCACTGGACACCCCAGCTCTGCCACTAGGGCATGGGACATATGGGCCCTGGAGTCCCGCCTGCTCTCCCCACCCCTCACTGAACCAGACCAAGCTGTGCTCCCTGAGGGGGCCCTCCCTAACCCCTGACCCTGCCATGTTAGGTGTAGGGTCTCTGGATGCCCAGGCGGAAGGCCCTTGACTGGGAGTCCAACCTCCCTGTGGGATCTCGCTCTCCCGAGGGAGACGGTTGGATGGACGTTCTTGGCTCGGGTGGGTGTGCATCCCCTGAAAGGCACAGCCCAAGCCTCACTTGTGCACCTCAGGCCTCAGTCTTTGGGGTTTGAGTGAATGACGCAGTAAAGTGCTGAGTTCATGCAAAAGGTCAGTACTCAGGCCCCTGGCATCCCAATCTCTCCAAAGAGAGAAGCTAGCCACCAGCTTTTCCCATGTCGGGGAGGGAGATGAGTGAACACCACCGGGGCCTGTTAGAACTCACTGGAGATTCTTTGTGAATTCTAAAAACATGGCAGCCCTGGCTGGTGTGGCTCAGGGGACTGAGTCCAGCCTGCGAACTGTAGGGTCTCCAGTTCGATTGCCAGTCAGGGCACGTGCCTCCGTTGCAGGCCAGGTCCCCTGTGGGGGATGTGTGAGGGGCAACCACACACTGATGTTTCTTTCCTTCTCCTTCTCCCTCCCTTTCCCTCTCTCCACAAATAAACAAGTAAAATCTAAAAATAAATGAAAAGAAATGCAATGTTAAAAAGAACATGGCAGCATGAGGCACAGAGACAGGATGTGCAAAATGTGTCTTAAGAAATAAGGAGAGAAAGGAGGCAGCCGTTGGCAGAGAAGAGCAGTTACAGAAACTAAGCAAGGGACAGGAAAAATGTGGCAATAAAGATGGGAACAAACTGTGGTGGGGACGAACATGAAGTGCAGAAATAAGGCGGCGAGGGAGGAATTAGTGCAGATGCAGAAACAGAGGGGGAAACAGGGGCAGTAAGCCCAGACAGACATCTCCCTGCTGGTGGGAGAGGCACAGATGATGTGCCAGAAAGGGGTCAAAGCCCTTAGCCTCCCTGTGGTCTTCCCAGGTGTATTTTGGGCACTGGCTGGTGGAGGGGGCCCCCTGGTGGTGCTCCTGTGCGTGGGAGCCTCAGCCTGGGTCGTAGAGCGCTGGAAGCGGGGAGGTGGGGGTCTTGGTAAAAGTGGGAGAGGATAATGAGGCCAAGCAAATCGGGCAGAACCATTTGGTTCCAAACTGCTACTAGAAAGCACTCAGTCTTGGTCTGGTTGCCGAGCTGGCCTTTTCTGGACCAGGCCCTCCTCCTTCCATGAGTCCCAGTTCTCCCCCGTATCTCCAGGTTCCTTCGGTGCCCTTGAGGGAGTCTCCCTCCTGATGACAGAACTGGCTGTCCTCCAACGCCACACCCCAGCTGCCAGGCCCAACATGCAACCACTGGGTTCGGGGGTCTCGCCTGGCAAGTCTACAACCTTACCACTATGCTGCATCCTGGTTCCCTTCCCCTGGTCTAGAACTGAGCCTTCTGGGTTCTAGAACTTCCATTTTTACCTCGAGGCTCTTCTATCCCCAAGTTGTGCCCTGTCCCCAGCTTTGGTGACAGGGAGGTGCCCCTTATGTGTGCTGTGTCTGATGCACTTGGTTTGCAGTGGTGGGGAGTGACTGAAGTGTGTGTGGACAATGAAACAATACATCTATAGTTAAGAATCCCATGCCCTGGCTGGTGTGGCTTGGTGGATTAAGCACCGGCCGGCAAACCCAAAACTCACTGGGTCGATTCTTGTTCAGGGTACATCTCTGGGGTGAGGCCCAGGTCCCCAGATTGGAGTGTGTGAGAGGCCACAGATCATTGTATCTGTCACACATTAATGTTTCTCTCCTTTTCCTCCTTCCCTACCCCTCTCTGAAAAGAAATAAAATCTTTAAAACAACAACCCGAGAATCCCAGGCCTGGCCGGACCGGAGGGTTTGGTGGATCTCTCACCTGACCCTTCCCTCTTCTTGGCTTCTACCCGCTTTCTCCTCCCTCCGTCTCCCATTTCTCCCCCTGCCCACCCTGGGTCCCCGATTCCTGGTCTCCTTCTGCTGTCCTGGAGATGCATGGATTGCTGCTCTGGAATCCAATTTTATTTCAAGGGAAGGCACCTGTGTCTTGTTTAAGTGCGGACACAACTTGCCAGGGGCAAAAATTTTTGGGAAGTGCTCTCTGATCAAAAGGGGCTGAGTCACTGCGAAACCACCCATTGGGAAACTGTGAGCCATGCGTGTGTGGCTCTTTAAATTCCTCTGCACTAGCAATAAGCAAGTGCTCGGTAATCATAAGTAGCTGCTACCTTATTGGAGGACGCAGATATAGAACATTTTCATCATTACGAAAAGTTCTACTGGACATTGCTTGCTTAGGGCACGTTTCCAGGGCTCTATGGCCTCTGACCTTTGCATGCTGTCCCTGGAGAACTCTGTTTTGGGAAAATATTTTCCCTTTTCAATTGTAGTCTCAACTAGGTCACAGAAGCATCTGTGAACCAGTTGCTGTGCAGGGCAGTAAAAAGCTCCAAGTGCTGATCACCCTGTTAGGCACTGTGTGGCAGACACACCAGCCTGTCCCCCTCAGAATCACCAGTCACCACCACCAAAGTGCAGCTGACAGCGGGAGCAACAGGGTGCTGAGTGGACAAAACAACAGGTGTCCAGCAGCCACTTCCCCTTCAATTCTAGCAACAGCAGAGAAGGGCAGAGGTCAGCTGACACCCTTTTGTAACTGGGACCCTTCCTTGCTTCCCATTTGGATGACTGTGCCCCAGTCACACTTCCCAGTTTCTGTGCAGGCCCCAGCCCTTGGCTCAGCTCCTGTCCATCACGTGCTCCCAGTGCCTTGCAATCACTTGACTGTTTCTGCCACTTGTGAGCCTTGAACTGGAGAAGAGGGAGCAAGCAGCCCTTGAAGCAGGTCACTTCTGGTGTGCCCGCTGCTTGCCGTGGGCAATTTTCCATACCAACATCCTCCACTCACCCATACAAAGAGGTTGGTAACCCTCCCCAGCCTTCCTGGATGGAGCCAGACTACCTCTATTTTGGCACATCACTGGGCTATACACTAAAAGCCTATGGTTACTACCTGATGCTGGTAACAGTGTGAGCGTCCAGCCACCAGTCCCAGGTCGTGTGAATAAACTAGACCCTCCCTGCAGCGGGGGCTCCAACATCTGGGTGGGGCCCTTAGCCTGGCAAGGAGAG